ATAAAGGTAGGTTGTGTACTTTTGTCCAACTGAGCAATCTTGCTTTCATAAAATATACCAACTTTTTAATGACTGATGAGTAACATGCTGTAATACACAGTTTAAATTTAAAAGCTCAAATGCTGTACATGAGAGGTTAAGCTTTATTGGCTCCTCCTGGCGGTTTTACAAAGTGATGCCGGATACTTTCCTGCATGACGTCAAATGACGCGATTTACCCTGTGATACTGCGTGACACACCCACTGGGGTATACAGTGAAATACCCCGCCCATTTTGAATGGCTGCATCTATATTAAGTAAAATCAATTGAAATACATAAATGTCTGCATAAAATCATTTCAGGGTCAAATGTAATTTGAATAAATCTTTAATTTTACAGAGTCCACTTCTAGCAACATGAAGAATCAGTCTGGACTTTCAAGGAAAACTGAGAACACCCAATCACAGTGGAAGCTCACACTGCTTGGTTTTGCCCACCTACAACATGCAGCAGCTGAAATTTGATGTTTAAAATGCAAATGGCTAGTTTTCAAAATTAGGCCTTCCACGTAATAACAATTATCAAATCATTTTTAAATAATTGTGAAAAAAATAATTATTTAATTAAAATGATTTCACCACAGCATTAATTTTTTCTTTAGATTATTGAAATTCCCGGCCAATATACACTACACAAGCAATTTCTGATTTTTTTAAAAAACAATCTCACTCTTCAAAGAAATTGGTGAACCACTTGATAAAGATGAATAAAGTATGATTCAATAACAAACAAGGAAGACAATTTGAAATTTCTTTTTCAATGCAAATTATATCATACATTACATACATTCTTTTGGTATTAGGTTACTAGCATCAACATGGAGGATAATTAATAAATAATAACATTTTTTATTAAGGTAGGTACTGTATGGTGTTGCAGCATCAGATTTTCAGCAGCTTTACAGCAGGAGTAATTAACAGCTGGGATGTTTAGTCTAGTACTTAAACCACAGGGAATTAGTTTTGTACAACAGTTATTTCTAATCTTTTGTTCAAATGTATTTTTTCCCAGATTCCCAAGTTCAGAATTTAAACCGGCCTATAGAACCTGATTTTTTTCTACCTTAAGGGCTTGAATTCGCCACTTATGAGGAAGTCAATGTAAATGCATATAGACCTATCCACATAGCTGACATAGCTAACACAAGGAATCATTATACAAAAGATTCCTGTCTTCTTAACTTCAAAACCCATGTACAGTCAAGCCTTTGTGTCACCATAAATTCCAAATACAAATATAAATGCAAAACCAAAAATCAATTTCATTTTTGCATCTGATTTTAATGTTAGCATAATTGGGTTTTTATACAAAGATTAAATATGCAGTAAGGTATTAACATTAACTACTTAATTTTTGGAAAATTAGCACATTAGCAACAATTTATAGTACATTCCCTGCCCTTTCACTATAATAATTAAATACAAAATAGTTAAGAAATGTTTAAATGTCAGCAAGAACCTGTAAAGATGTACACAGAAAAAAATCACTGATAGCATATAGGTATTCAGCCCCTGTGTTGATATACAGTAGCACCATTAATATTTTTGGACAGATCTCCACAAATTTCTACAGTGGAATACTGTAGTATTGCCAATATTATCTGAGAAAAATGCTGCAGGTTTTTCGAGAAGATTTAATGATTTCAAGAGTCACCATTCATTTTCTTTTGGATGTCAGGATTTTCACTTGACTACATTCACTGGCCTATTGCTAGACCTATTCAGTCTTGCTTTGGCCTTGTTTCAGGACATTGTCCCACTGAAAAGTCCATTTCCTACCCAGTTTATAATTCATGAGTAATTCAACCACACTCTCTTGTCTCTTGCCTGTAATGTGTAGCATCCATTTTCCCTACCTGTTTCTTACAACAAGCTTCCTAAAACCATAAAAATAAGAAATATTCCCACAACATGATGCTAAAACCTCCTTGCTCAACAGTAAGGATGGAGTTAACATGGTGATGCAAAAGATGTAATGCTTTGACTTAGGCAAAAATCTATGTTTCATCTAACCATAAAATCTCCTGTCATATGCCTGAAGAATTTAAAGAAACTCCTTTTGATCTGTGCCATTAATGGTTTAATAAATGTTTTGGATGAAGTAAAATTCACACTACTGCTCCCCTACATATAAATACTGCTAAATGCCCACAACTTTGTTCTCATCTTTTTAGCACTAAAATTATGGTAATGTTGGAGGCAGATGTATCTCAAATTTGGAATTTCTAACACAAGCAGCACTTCCACCTGTTTCTCCACAGAAAACAACAGACTTTGTCTCTGCCGGGGTGTCTGTTTTTTTATTCAGTTCCCCTTATCCCTTCCTGGACCTTTGGAACAGCAGTTACTTTGTCTCTCTCTCCACCTTCTCTGTTCTCTGGATCATGCTTGATCTTCCCACCCCCCTTTCTTCTTTATCTTTCTGATCAAGTACGCAGTCCGCTCCAGTCTCTAATTGTATAGTTTTGTCTCTCCTCTTTTCAATCCTCCTTTATCTCTGTCCCTATAGGAGCCCATCCTGGTCGCTGACACTCTACCCTGAAAGTTGCATTCCATCACCTGCATCATACATGCTTCTTAGACACTTCATTCTTCTTTAGAGAAAAGCTGAAACAATGCATATCCAAATCTACTCAACCAAACAAACTCAAGCCTGCATCATAAGAGCTTCTCATTCACTCTGTGCTACATGTGTGTTCTCCTCAGTTCTTGCAAAACTCTACACACATCTTTTTTAGCACCCCTATCTTCACTTTAACTTCACTGTTGCAGCATCCTCTTTGGTTCAGTCATCATAAGTAAGGGAGGTTGTGACCGTTGGCTAGTACTGTCATTTCCTTAACCAACTGAATTAACACCAAAGTATGAAATATGCTTTCCCTTTATATTTGTTGGCTTGTTTCTTTGTTAGTACAATTTCACCAAACTACAGAAGCACATTGTATACCTGATTTGTTTTGAAAGCTCCTTAGTCTTTCTGGTCAATTTGTCATATCACTACATGCGTTATGGCTTGAAATTGAATCTTTGTCCAAGGAATGTTACAGAGACAGATAACTCTATAGTCAAGTTAAAGAATTTGATTACATTGAGACAATAATTCTGTGACCTCACAAACTATGCTTTTGCACCCAAACAGTCTTAGGGTGGCCATAGCAAAGAGGATGAATACTTATGCAATTGAGAAACATTTTGTTTTTCCAAATCTCATTTTATTCCCACATTTTCAGCATTTATTTATTTGGATTTGTTTGGTGTAGATTATAAATTCCTTTGAAAATACCATGATTAAAAGTTTAGATAGCAAGAAATGTGGAAACTTTACAGGAGTAAATTTGCAAGTTACCATATATCAAATCAAAACAAACCTGAGTTTTTAAACTAAATTACACCTGTACTTCTATTTTACTTCTATTTTAGAAAGGCAGAATAATGAAAAAATTGTCAGTACAGTTACAAGGTTTGAATTCAGGTTTTTCTTGAAGCATGTTTGATTTTTAGGTGTATCCCATTGAGTGAACGAAGAACCAGCTTAGGAATCTTCTTTGGAGTCTTGTTTGGATCAACTGCCAGTTCAAAGCGCTTCAGGGTTAATGCTACCGCAACTTTCATCTCATTCATGGCAAAGTTCTGTCCGATACAGTTCCTATTTGGAAGAGGAATGTACAAATTTATTACAGGAGCAATTTATTACAAATGAATACATGTTATAAGTTACTAAAATAAATTAGTATCGTTGTAGCACCATCCAAAAAACAATTCTACTGTTTTACAAAAGGAAAGCTCAGTATCAAACAGGCTTTTGATTATAACTGTTATGGTCTATTAAAAAGAGTTCTGGAGGAAAAAGCAAAGTAGAGTGCTTTGTGAATGTCTGGATTGTTTGGTAGGATAGGTTTGACTTAACTCGCTCGGTTAATGGGCAGCTTCCTAGCCATAGGACCAGGAGGCTTAAACCTGATTCAGAGAGGAGTTAACCAAGGACTAACTGCAAAGTGTAGATAGGATGAAGGAGGGATGCTTGAGACTAATGCAAAGGGAGGTGTTTATTTTCATTATATACAGTTCCATGATGATTGTAATTAGGATCTTCACAATCACCATTAATAACTGATTAAATTAACTTTCTATCTTTTTCCGTCTTGAATTCCAGTTAATAACTCACATTTATAATCACATTGCATTTTTCTAGTTAAACCTGTTTGGCACAAAATGTTATAGTGTTAATATAACATATATAGTATGTGATACTTTATTAATGTAATGACAATATTTAGTTTTAATTACAATGATAAAAAATGCAATCAATATTACATTCAGACATTATACAAACAGGTACCAAAATTTTGTTAAATCGTTAGTTATGTTTTTTCTTTTACATGTTTAGTTATCAGGAAAACAAGCTGAAGACGAGCCTCATCAAAAACTGAGAGCCAGTCAAAAGCTGCAAATTCATATTGTAATGCTGTCAAGGGTCTGACGTCTTTAAGGGGTGGAGCCCTCATGGGGGGGGTTAGGTAATCACAGCTGAACTGAGTTGGAGTAATATGAGTTGGAGCTGTGAGAGAGCTTTAGGCAGAGTAGTTCAGTCCTGAGCTACAGTAGCTGTTGCAGGTGAAAGCAAACACAAGATCTCCATGTTCTGAGGCTCAGTAGTGAGAGACCTGGAGTAGAGGTAGCAGTAGGTGTGAAACACTGCTGGTGTGAGTGCAGAAGTAGAGCCCAGCTGTAAACGGAAACAGGAAGAGCAACAATCTCGGAGGAGATTGTAAGGAAGAACTGTGGGGTTTAGTAAAGTGAAAAGTGCAATATAAGGAACCCTGATAAAGGGAGAGAAATAGTAGGGACAGTGTTGAAGGAGACTGTGGAGAAAATATAACAGTGGGAATCCTGGAAGGGACTGTGAAGAGCAGCAGTCCTGAACAGGACTGTAGGAAAAGTTCTAGTAAGAGTAAGAGAGCGAGGGAGCAAGAGGCATATGACATCTAGCAGCAGACAGCCAGGATGACAATGCTCCCATTCACAACATGCGGTTGCCAAAAGGTTTAATGAAAATGACACTTATGTTATTCATATGTCATGGCCAGCTTAGTCACTAGATCTGAATCCAAACGAACATCAGATATTCTGGAATGACATTTGTGACAGCATTTTCCACCTCCATCAACCAGGCATAATTTCATTGACTTTGTCATAGAAAAATAGCACCGCATCCCTCCAGCAGAATTTATTAAGCTGGTAGACATCATAAAAAATGTTATGTTTTTCAGTCATATATAAACAGACTATAATGTTCAGACATAGTGACCCTAGTCACTAATAACATCGTAAGTCACTTTACATTTTCATTTGTTTGTCCACTACTTGTATATTTGTTTATTAAAAATATTAAGCTGAAGACATGTGATGTCATACAAATTGTGATTTTGTTTGTATTTCTTTCTCCTTTCTTTGAAACTTATCCAGAAGAGTTGAGTATACCAGGATAATGTTAGACTACAGAATGAAAGGATAGCAATGGTATGACCTTAAGAAAATAAAGGTTTATTAAGTGGGACCTGTGGGACCAACTCAATAATGGTATCAAAAGGAGACAACATGACCAACCAACCTCATGAATTGTCCACACCTATACAGTTGCAGAAGTTGCCCCAGAGTGTATGCAGACATTAATATGATCTATGTGTCCATGCTGCTGGGACTGCATTAATGATCAGTGAGGTCATACCACATATTAACCTGTGTCTTCATTATGACAGTGTTTCATACTTCATATGTAAAATCACGATTCTGTTTTTAAGTCAGAAAATGTCTTCCAGAAAGGACTGAATTTCTGGAACTTAAATGTTCTCACTTCTTTTAACTGATCAATATTAAATTTCACTTTTTATAAAACAGCATCTTTACACAAAAGCCAAAGATACAAGCTACTATAGAAGAATGTTTTTTAGAATAACATGCAATGTCCTTTTAAAAAAACTGTTTTGTTCTTAAACAGGAGATGATTGAATTGATCTTTTCTTTACCGTAAATATTACAATTCCTTAAATGGCAATAAAATTTTGGATCAAGAACTGAGGTCTTTTCCCTGTCTGGAAAGTTTAAAGGCCTAAAAAATTATCCAATTATCTCATTATCTAATACTTAGTAAAGTTATTAACAGTACATATGTAATCCATCATGGATAGTTTTGTATGAGAATCCTTTTGAACTTTTTTTGTATTATTTATAACAGTAATTTCTCAAATAACACAATGGTTACAGTACATTTTTTAACTTCTTTATTGTTATTTTAATGTACTCATATGTGTTTGCATGTGTACAATTATGTATTGATTTATTAGTAAAACCTACTGTATAGTATTAATGCTGGTTTTCTGTTTGTAGTGTAACATCAGAGGGTCATCATCAATAGATATTTCAGAAACGATAGTCTTAGAATACTGGACATGGACCTGAGCAAGATGGCCAGAAGGAAAACTCCACTAACCAGTTTACGGAAACACCCTATCCAACAACACAATGATAAACAGGTGAGCCAAGCTAGGAAACAATATTTAAATGCCCCAGAAACACTGAGCGGCGTGAAGCCAGTGAGGTGGATGTACCTTGGAGGAAGTAGTGGGAATATGGAAGAGTTTCAGCAGATTGGATTTAGAAATAATGGATTGGAAATTAAACAGACATCAGAATATGGATTGTGATTTGGTTAAGGTGTTGTGTTTTTTATGGTGATTGCATTTATAAATAACGGACTGGAAAACGGAACAGAAATTTGAATACGGATTGGGCTTTAAGATATAGGGAAATTGTAGACAATCAGCAGACAGAGGAGTAAAGGCGGGACAGAACCGGGAAGTTTTAAAAGGAAAATGCGTGGTATGAGTTTTTCGGACAATTTCATCTCGTTTTGTTTTATCCAATCCCCTGTGACACCACAGTAGGTGCTCACAGTTTTTCCGTGGCTCGCACAGTTTATGCATGGGTGAGTTTCCTTAATAATTTGTGCCTGAAAATGATGGCTCAACATAAAGAATATGTTCCTATAATGTGTAAATAAAGAATGAAAAATAGAATGACATTCTACAAGTTTCTCTTCTAATGTGAAAGATTGTTTATTACATTAGAAGTGAAAGAATGTGAAACATGTGAAACACAAGATGTTCTGACACAATGTTAAACTGAAACTAAAGACAGATGTTTAATAATAATTACAACAACAACAATAGTAATAATTATATTAATAATAGTGTTAAAGAATTGAGACAGATAAGGGCAATTCACGAGTTCATCCATGACATATTTTACCACCATGCACATGAGTGGAGAATACACGTGAGTGGATGATACACTCAGTGGAATATACACTTCTTCAGGATGATTTATGTGAAAATTGTACTTTAAAAAATAGTATTGTGAAATTGCATTAAACATTGCCCAATTCTATATTCATTCACTTGGCAATTTTTTGGGCACGTTTAGAGATTATCCGGTTGAGAGGTTAGAAATGCTCGAATAGTGATACCTGAGGTCATAAACAGGTAAATCAGAGACTGCTTTTATTTCTTTTATTTCTGGAACTTTATATTAACAGAACAATACATTGACAACATGCGATCCCATAGTGTACACTATTGACAAGCACAAACCTTGGTCCTGCAGAGAAAGGAACAAAAGCATAGGGATGTCGTTTGGCACAGTTTTCAGGTAAAAACCTCAGAGGATCAAATACCTACAATGCAAAGCAGAAAACAAAGAAGTCAGGTTATAATCTTCTATTAGCCATTCCACAATTCCAAACCTTTATATGTTAAATGATGCTTTACTGTACATATATAAAGAAATGTTGAGGAAAAAACACTTCTTTGTAGTAGGCGGGACTATCTTGAAAGTAATTGCTTAGATCCAAAGTCACAATTAAGCAACAATGATTATTTTTAAAGTCAAATCAAACTACATTTTGATTAATTGATCCTTTTTACATGTTAACAACTGAGAAAGAACCATTAGTTTTCATGACAAAAAACATATCTCTTCACATACAATAGGCAAGCAGTATGAATCTGGTGCATCAAAAAGAGTGATTTGTAGAAGAATTATTTTCCCCAGATAACCAATATGGTTTGCAATGTATTTATTGTTTTTAAAATGGCTTTAAACCTACCTCTGGATTTTCCCAAACACTAGAATTCCTATGAATGCTGTAGATGCTTATTCCTAAAATAAAACCTTTAAGAAAGTAAAAAGGTGAAATTTGTAAATAAAATATACATGAATGATAAATATTCATATTACACTGTCATATTACTTGTTACTTTTATACAGTATAGAATACTGTAAATGATAGTGCTGCTGACCCAATAATTTAGCTATGAAATACATTTCTAGAGATAATTGCATCCAATTCCCAAAGAACAAGTAGAAGTGTTCATACAACTAACTGAGGGCCATTCAAAACTCTTTAGTTTAAGCATACTACAATTTCTCAGAAACGAAATATCCTAATATATTTATATATATAAAATATCGTAGTCTAAATAAATTAAAATAGTCTTATGTATATGACACATTACAAATTCAATACATTTTTGGTATTGGGAAAGACACTTATGCCATATTTCAAATAGCTGCTTACAAGTGTTGCAGGGACCGCTTGGATTTCCACTGCATTTTCTCAGGTACTCATGATCTTTTAAGTCGTTGAATTAATCAATGTTTAAGCGAGATGGGGCTCTAACTACAGCATAACATTTTATTGATTTGCTCATCTTTAACATGAAAACAGATATGCATGTCCATCAATCATTTTTAATGTTTTAATTTAATAATTAATGTAAATATATTTATTAAACATCACTCCAGTATGTACGCAGTTTTTAGGTTCTGCATGGAACTTATTTGTAAGTTACTAATAATTTGTAAATTGAACGTGTTTCATCATGTATAGAAAAGGTTAAGGTCTAGAACACATACAATTGAATTGAAATTGCAAATCTGAAACAAAAACCTTGCACATGCATTCTACATGATGATATTTATCCCTGGATAAATTGGAGTCCTGAGTTGTATGGGACACATTTTCAGGGGAATTTAACTAACTACTAGCTAAGTAGATTAGATTACTGAACTACTAGCATAGCAGAAAGCAAAACAAGTTATTTGTAATGTTGATTATGTTCTTAACTACTTTGCACTCATGGAGGAATTGCTACAAGTCAAACCATATTCATACTTACATCATTCACATCAGTATTCTATATTTTGTAGTCTCCATTTACTGATGACTCAGTAATAGATCAAAGAGATATCTTGTTAATATTTATTTGTTAGTTTTGAAAGTCTGCTGAATTAGTCTTTTCACTTAATTGTCAAGGACAAAGTTTACACACAGTTTGATATTAAACTAAAACAGGACTTGTTTAATTTTTATTGTTATTTAATATGTGTAATTTATCTTGTTTTTTAATAAAAAATATTTTAGTTTACTTTCATTTACACACAAATAAATAATGGAAATAAAGCTAAACCTTCGGGAACTGTTCGTCCATCAAAGAATGTCATGGGTTTGGTGAGTTTCCGGGATATCCCTGGCACAGGGGGGTATAGGCGGAGTGATTCCTTTATACACATTGTTGTGTATGGTATTTTACTAAGATCATCCCTATAATAAAAAAAAACATAAATGATAATATTAAAGTCACAAGGTGCACACACAAAGAAAAGTATTGTAAAATATATTTTAGTTATTGAGAGTTGTGAAAAACACTCAAAGGTTATAATGTAAAACTCAAGAATATTCAGAAAATACAGACAACCTGCAATGAATGATGTGATTCTGAAAAAGTTACAGATATGACATATAGTTATATACTCCTCTTGGTTTGAGGACAACCACATGGTCATATGAAGGTTGGAAACCCCTACCACCAACACCTACTGTATACTGTATACCAGGGTAGGTCTGTTTTCCTAAATCAATTGTACGTCACTTGTAATAATAATTAACTTTATTTTATTTAGCATCTTTAAAAGCACTTCTCGTATAGCTAAAATTGCGAAGCACTCTATGTATAAGAGGCAACCACTTCATCCACTAGAGCAGGACACACAGAAGCTATTGACAGAAGCCCTAGTACACACTATAAGTGTGAAAGTACTTCATAAACTAAATTAAGGGAAGTCATAAGGAGACCCAACCATGCAAGCAAAAAGTAGAATTTCACCAATTCCATAGGGTTAAAACACCTATTATTCGTAACAGTGCCATTGCATCTTTAATGGCCACTTATATAGAACTTTGGTTTAACATTTCATTCTAAGAACAGTACACTCTATAGGATTTCAGGTGGGTAGCTGCGTCAGCATGCGTAAGCTGCAAAGGAACAAGTAATAGGTTTTTTCCATGCTGAAAAGAGAAGAAAGAAAACACAACGTTTCGGCCGTGGAGCCTTCTTCAGGTGTGAGAAAGACAGGGCAGTAACCAAAGGTAATGTAGCGGGAAAACAAAAGCTGGGAGAGAGGAGAAGCGAGGGGCAGGAACGTGGGACAGAAAGAGAGGCCAATCAGGAGGTGTGAAGTCAGGATAGGTGAAGCGAGGTGTGAAATGAAACCTACAATAAATAGAGAGAATTTAGAAGAAAAGTAGTCTGTTGTTTCATCATGGAATAAACCTATTAATTGTTCCTGTACACTCTATAGTACCTTGTCCTCTGTCACCACAATAGGGCATTGGAAATTTTGGTCCAGGGGCAAGAGTGCCTCTTAGTTACAGCAGTGGTATGATTTTTCGTAGACATTTCCCATCTTGGAACTGACCAGGCTCAGCATTGTTTAGCCACGGACACAATTAGGCTAAATAATGGTATTGTTGCTGTGATATAAAAGCTGTCATGCCCTCTGCAGCCAGAGGGTGCTCCTTCTCTGTCCTGTCCCTAGTTTCCGGTCTGCTGTCCTTCCTGTCCCTCTCTTCCTTGGGCTATATATTTCCGGGTCTTGCACTCTGTCCGGGCTCAGCATTGATGTTCGGATGTCCTGAGACCCGCCTAGCACCAGGGCGCCCCACGTCCGCTCCCTGAGGGCATAGGTTTCTATACGGCATTCCTGAACTCTTTGCACTAATGAGCCCGGGCCTTTTTCCCGTCTCGCCGCTATGCATATGGGTCTTTTTCTGCTCTCCTGCTCCCCACGGTTAGTCCCTTTGGACGTCCGTGACAAAAGCTTTGCCTACCACATTCTCAGACCATTATTAATGTTTAATTTACTAAGATAAGAAAATGCTGCAGTGTGGTTAAAGGTACTGAACCTGTACGTCTATCATTCACACAAACTGCATGCCCTTCTTTTTGTTAATCTCAGAATGTAATCAATTCAAAAAGGTCTAATATTTCATACAGCATATTCTTAAAAGCTCTTGAATTTTTTTAAAAAAAGTGTTTCAGTATTGTTTGCTTTCATATAATTCTGTAAAATGTATTATTATAGGCAATGGCAAATCATTAGCAGTAAAAGATAATATTTTTACCAAATATTAAAAAATCAATACTGCCTTGGATACTGGTAATACAGGCAGTATAATTGGCCGACGAATGGAGTATTTTGTGGAAAAAAGAAGTTCAACCCCATTATGTAAAATTTTGTCTTCATTCTAAGCGAAACAATTAGGTTTGCTAAGAGTTAAAGAGTCCGAAAGCTTTGGCATCCTATTAGCTAAATGTTATCAGAGTTGGGTGTCTCCCAGGCAAACAGCTGTAGTAATCCTAGCGATTTCCTTGCCACTTGCAAGCACATATTGAGAATTAATCCGCAATAATAAGATACCATAATATATAAATTGGTTAAGGCTGACAAACCAGTCCACGGTGTCTTTCCCTTCTAAAGCCACGAGAACTTCCTCTCTGCATTTTTTCTGGTGTTCTGGATTTGATGCCAGGCTGTACAGGATCCAGGAAATCCCACTAGCAGTAGTGTCATGTCCCTCAAACATAAAAGTGTCTACCTCTGCCCGAATGTCTTCATCAGAAAGGCCCTTATTTTCTTCATCCTGCAGTTTAACACAATTATGTAGAGATTTAATTAGAATAATGTTTCTCTTTGATGGAAATCATGTATTTATTTATATAATCTAATGATGGAAATAACAAAGAAATGGTATTCAGGAGGAAGTCTAATTGTGCCCTTCTTCCCTACAATCTCTACATAATAATACTCTCTGGCTGCCAGCTGTGACCTTACCTTTGGCGTGTTCACCAGGAATGGAGTCATTTTCTTCCTCTTGTAGCGACAATGCTTGTTAATAAGACAGAATTAAGTGTTGTGGTGCTTTCCCAAATGAGGCCCCATCTCTCTGTTCATCTATTCATGCAGGCTGATTTAAAGATGTTTTCTTTTGATAAGGGACAGCTCCCAAATGGGGATG